CTTTTGGGTCTTTGAGGCCCACTGGGATGTGAGCGCGAGCACAACTCATTGTGGTAGCGCATCTTAATAATGCACAATTGTCCGCTGTGGCCTTGACCATGAAAAATATTGGCGTGACGGCCTGGAAATTGGGTGCAACATGCAGTGAAGTTGCAAGGTTATAGTTAAGGTTTGGCTGTACTCTCCAATAGTAAAATGCAAAGAGCTGTTTAATCTACTGATAGATAGATAGATAGATAGATAGATAGATAGATAGATAGATAGATAGATAGGTGTGTGAATGGTTGGATAGATAAATTAAATAAAATGATAAATATCAAAGTCAAAGAATCTTTATTGTCATCTTCTGCTGTATGATCCATGGGTCATGAAGTGAGATTATAATCTATTAAATTCTGAAATTGTAATCTAATAAAATAAATGATGTGCATTGAATACCGGTTAATACCACAGCGACACTGAACACCTAATAGTGTGCATAGGCCAGCAGAGCATTTACAAGGTCAGTAGCACAGGGTCAGATGAGGCCAACGTGCGTGTGATGTGACCAGGTAACCAGGGCAGGCTGGAAGGACCTGAGAGTGCAGTGCGGGCGAAGGTGTGACGGATGGGTGGAATGGCCAGGCTGACCGACACACGCGTCCTCAAGGAATCGTTCACTCTGCAGAATCAGAAAGACAGAATGTCCTCCTCCAGAGGAGTCCGGTTGGAATCCTGTGCAATGTTTACTTTGGGGCTGTCACATCACAGGAAGTGGCTGCTCGACAGTGTAGCCCTGGAGATATATTCGTGTAAAATGTAACAAGTATTTGTTGCTTTCCGAGGAGAATGCATGTATTTTTCCATGTGTTTACGATGTGTGGCGCCGTGGATGGTACAAGTGAGGTGTAATGCTTGGTAAATGTGTTAAGCACCTAAAGATATTTTTTCCAAAGCATGTGAATTTTGGTTCAGTAATCGTGTAATCAGGAAACATGCGGCACATTTCGGCCTAATCCCTGATCTTTTTAATAACAACTTTCTCCTAGAATTTTAATGAGATTTTATCCCTAAACCTCTTCTTGCTCAGGCTTCTATTGTACAACCTTGGAAAAGTGGAAACGACGTCTCGTGTAATTTTACAGGCCGACGTGTAATGATGTCAGAGTCGCCTCGGGAAAACATCCGAGGCAGAAATGCTGATTAAGTCGACAGTAAACTGTCACGGGAGGGATGAACTCTGTGTGGCAGAAACTCCCTGCATGGCTCACACCATGTCACAATGTCTACGGCTCCAAATCCTAATCACTGAGTTTTGGGAATTCCAGGGATTGTTCTGTGTCTGTCACCCCCAAGCTATGGAGAGCAAGATGGAGTAGGCGAGGAGACAAATTCCAATGTACCTGTAGTCGTACTTGTGCAAATGGCAAATAAAGGATTTATTGTTTATAAACGGTCTCTTTAAGCCCCCCCCACAATGCTGCTTCCACCCCCTCGGCAACCCCAGCAGACCATTTCCGACCATGAATCGGGTTTGATGACATCACCCAGTCAAAATCTCATCCCATCTGAGTGCCCCTCGGTCAGACAACGCTGAAGCGCCTTCTAGGACCTCAATAAAGACGTCTTTAAGTTCCTTCTCCAACACTCTGCCTGCAGCTCTTCCTGAAAATCTGGAGGGAGAGCGCGGGGTGCAGAGAGTTCCCCGCCGCCGTGGAAACTCTCCGACACCCTGAGAGATAATTGAGGATTATTCTGCCCAGTCGAGGAAGCGAACGCACAGCTGCAGCCGTGAAGCGTTTAGCAGCACAGGGTGCTTTTGTTAGCATGAATGCCGGCCGTGGGGCCACTGCTGCTTTATCTCACAAGTACGCAACCTTAAAGGCGCTCCCAGTTACAGCCTGTAGGTAACACAATGCTCTTATTGTCGTGCCTGTCGGCCTGACAATGGACCTAATCAGGTTTGCCCTGTGAGCCGCAGCCTCCCTCCTCCGGTCGCCGGGGCATTTACGATCGGCCGTCCCCGTATTGCCGAGTGCCTCCGTTTCCATAGCACGGGCCCCCCGCATTTTGTTATTTTGTTTTGTTTACGTGGCGCATTTCCTGCATCCGCAGCGCGTGTTTGCTTTTTGCGGCGCAATACTCCGACGTACTGGATTGGCTGCGCGAAGGCGGGTCTCCTTGTACTTAACAGAACAATGACAATGCTAGTCTGGCTTGGCCCTGGTCCAGTACGACCCCCCCCCCCC